TTTTTTCTCTTAAAAATTCTGGAATGACATGGATTAAGTCAAGAACAAAATATTTTTGCAGAATAAAAAAAGTAATTTTTTTTTTCTAAAACACTACCATTTCTCTCTCAAATTAAGGGATAGTACGAAAACTGGTGTGTCTTTATCGGTGCTAACATTTCAACTTTAAAGTTTGCATTTCTTGAAGTGTAACTACCTTGATTAATAGTTGAAAAAATCATTTGCACTTTGGTAAGAAAATTGAATAAGACTTGACATTTTTCTAAACATAATATATATTATTCCATACTTTTGGCAGCGAAAGAAAAAAGAAAACTACGTGACATTTTGTTTTATTCCAATTTTGAGATGAAGATTCCTATCTTTATTTTGCATGGTTTAATTTTAAGAAATAAATTTCCCCCTATTCAGTAGGATCTTATTACACATAGGAAAACTCGTGATTACAGCTGTATTTCCAATATTATTGTAGTGTTAGAATTCAAGTTCGATCCTAACACTTAATTGGTTTCCATCCAATCAGATACTATTCATGTGATACTAATATATTTTTAATCAACAAATATTACATTTAAATTATTTTTAATAAGATATTAAAAAAGTATTTTATTAATAAATATAATGAATTAAAAAAATATATTCATATAAAAATAATCCTTTAAATAAGGATGAAAATGAAAAAAAAAACACTGAATGTTCTGTTTGAGAGACTGCCATATTTTTTTTATTAAAACTCTTGAAAATTTTAAAATTGAGTTAAAAAGTTTAAAAGAAAAAATAAGAGAAATTATAGATTTATATTTTCACTATCATGATTACTAGCATTTATTTATAAAAGAAAGTACGTCAATATTAAATGTTAAAAAGTAACACAATACATATATGCTTAATACTATTAAACCCATATTTTTGTCAACAAGAAATGGATTAATACCAATAACTTTTATTCCGAACAGTATATTAATGAAAAACAAAATTATTAATATCTTATACTAACATCATGTGTATACAAAGATACAGTTAAAAGCATAATTAAAATATCCTTTATATAATTGGAATAATCTTCATTCGACTGATTTTTAAATTTGGTTTTAATTGTTAAGTTGATGTTTATGTTATAAACTGTTTAAGAAGCTGCAAATTTTTATTTCTCACTTTTAGACAGAGACCATCATTCAAACATCCTTGACAAAAGTAGTTTTCTTAATTATTTATTTATGCAGTATCTTGTTTCACAACTTTTTATTTTGCATTTAATGCAATAAGTTATCACATTAAATTGTTATTGAAATAAAATGTATTTTCGTTTTTAAAAATGGAAAACATGTTGACTAAAGTGAAGTGCGTGCGAAAGTAGTGTTGTTTGGTGGTGACATCGGACGAAACTGAAAGACATAGTAGTCGGCGAGTTCTTGGGATTACGAGTGGTTAGGGAAAATGCATAAATTATATATTTTAATAATTTTTTTTAACAATTTTTTATAATATGTATAATTATTTTATTGGTCCGCATATTTAAAACCGATCAATCACACACTATTGTATAGATTGTTGTTAAAAAATTGTCAAAAAAATATTAAAGAATTTTCCATAAATTATACTAATTTTACTTCTCCTTATCCGTCACAACCTTGTCTTGACGTAGATGATTTGGATAAGCTTTTCTTATAAGAACAAATTTTTGTGACTCACATTTTTTTCATATTTATAAAAATACTGATTCATGGCATAGAAACAGAGAGGATCACAATGACAACGAGTTGCAAAGCTAAATCTGCTTTTGATTCAACTTTTAGTGGTCTCTTTTCCATGAGATTTACTTGATCTTAGCCAAAAGGCAGAGAAAGCTGTTTCTCTATGGCATTTACTGGTCCACCGTATTACCAATTTGCAGATTCCTTTCGGAACAAAATCACTCTCTCCATCTTTGATCTTTAATTATTCCATTCCTTAACCATATTTAATGTAGAAAAAGTGCCACTTTTTCCATTAATCCACTCGGAACCTACTTAGCTACTCTAACTTTCACATGTGTAGTCTTTATAAACAAATTTACAACTCCGAAGGGTCTTATAAATTAGTTTAGGTTTAGGAATCAAACTATATAATAACAGTAAATGTGTATATACGTGGCATGTACCAAGACACGTATAGCACGTAGATACATGATGATGAAACAACTTTTTCTTTCTCTATTCACCAAAATCGAGAGGAGGGAATGCCGACTATGGTATAATAGAAGTGGGCTTGCTCCTGGTCATGCATGTTGTTTATTTAAGGCGAGTCATTACATAAAGCATCTCGTACATAAGCAAGCACCATAGCTTTTCGTAGGAACAAGACAAAGGATGTCCATTAAGAAATCTGGGAGCCCATTCGCTGTCACTTTCGTGAGGCATTTGTGTGTTGAGTACTCGACACGTCGTGGAATTATTTCTTGAAAATGGAAGCTAACCAATCGAGAATTGGACAATACACAGTAGTCAGTCGCAGTTTACAAGGACAGGGACCCATGCTTCTCCTCCCTTTCCCCATTCACTTTGTTTTAATTCATCATTTTATCATTTAACAACTTAATGCAGACAAATCACGGATAAAGAAAAAACAGTCAGGTTTGGTCATGCATGTTTCAGTATTATAAAAATCAGAGCGAGCTAATTTTCAATTCAACACGCCGACATTAGTTCATATAAAGTAAAATATATATATATATATACAAGGTAACACCAGTGATGCCTCTCATGAGTGCAAATAAAGTTAACGGAATAAAATAAGCAATAATATTAAATTTTGAATTATCAACGTGTCACACACAAGATTCCTTGTAAACAAGTCATAAAATTTGCTGAAATTTCATTGGGTACGTGACATGATTATTAGGTTTGAAATTGGAATTCGTTTGATGTGTTCACGAGGACTAGTTCGTTACAGGATACAAAGTTTTAGGACGTGTATGTTTCATTCTTCATGGGATTGAAATGCATGGCGAATTGTGGACATGCACATGTTGTCTGGTGTGAATTAATCATCAAAAAGTTTGGAGGTATGGAAATGCTTCGTAGAAAAAATCTGCATGGAATCACAGAAGAGAATCAGTTGGGAGTAAGTGTGCTGCACGCAACAACTAAAATCCAAAGTAGCCTGACACTAACTCTGCATGAGACAGGGCGTGATGGTGGAGAAAGGGGAGTGTCGTTCGCACATTGGTTGAGATTGCTGAGAAAATCTGTTACCGATTTTGGTGACTGTTCCCTGATCACCATACGTGTACAACCTTATTCTTCATCTTCTTGATTTTATTCTTTCAATCAAGCACAGTTAGCAATCAAATATTATACCAGTAAAACAATTTAATATTGTGATTCTCATTTTAATTCTGTATTTTAAGAAATATTTCCATTACAACTGTAGAACCGGAAGAAAATATGAACTGGAAGATAGCTAGACAAAATCAATGACGAGCTAGTGTTTATGACTGGTTAAGGTTGATTGTGAAATCAGATAGATTTACTAAAAATATTCTCAGGTTGGGTTTGCTGTCAAAAAAATATCGATTAAATCATTTTCAAGGCTTTTAAAATTAGTTTGATAGTTAGAAACTTCAAGAGTGTCGCGTTACGAAGATAGTGTTTGAGAAAGATTCATTCTATTCTAAATAATAAAATAAGGAAAGATAAAGTTACAACATGCTTTTGATTATTTTATTTATAACTTTTTTATTTTAAAATGAAGATATTTAGTTATTTAAAGTTCTGAAATTTTAGTCAAATCATTCAAACTAAAACGTTGATTATGAAAGTAGTAATATTGAGTTGTACATGACCTGCTTTCTTGACAATTTTATTTCATCGTTAAAACACACTCAAATTATAAAAAATATACAATTTATTACATATAATTATACAAAATATTATTTCAACAATCACTTTAAAAATCATAAAATTACTATTGATAACACACATTTGATATAAATCACTTGGATCAACAAACATAAATTTATCGGTGAATTAAATTTATCAATCAACTCGATCAATGCAAACATTTACTTATAAGTATTGACCATAAAAAATTCGTTAAGAAATGTACTTAAAGTAAATATTTATAGATAACATCAAACGATAAAATAAATTATTTCGTCTCTTTCTTCCTCTTTTTTATTATTTTTTTTATTTTTCTTGCTAATTGATTGTTAAGCTACCATTACTACTTTAGGTCATTTTCATCCTTTTTTGAATCTTATTTTTCTCTCAGTTCGTTTTTCTCTTCTTTCACTTTCTCCTTCATTCACCTCCTCAATGTTACTATTTTCATGCACGAGTTACTAAGGATTATTGGTGTGATTGACACTATTACTTTTGCAGCTCACAGTTTTCTTTAAGGACACGAGATCATAATTACAATTGGCTGATGTTCTCACCAAAGGAACGTCAAGAAACTTGTTTAATGAGTCTATATTCAAGTTGGGAATGTGTGATATCTATGCACCAACTTGGGTGAGGATGTTAAAATATATCAAATATTCTATTAGTAAATATTAGGTAATCCAATATTGTATTGACTATAATTTAGACATTATTATATTTTGTGCACATTTATGCAATTGTCATTCCTTTAATAAATAGAGAATTATAGGATATTTATATATATATATATATATATATATATATATATATATATATTATTCTATTATTTAAAATAATACATCATAATTATTCTTTAAACGATATGATATTAGAGTTATATCATTCTATAAACGATATGATATTAGAGTCTTAGAGTATATATTAATGAGATTTGTCTCACTTTCGTTAATTTTATTCAATTTTTTTCTTAATGAAAGGAGATAAGTGTAGGCCGGGGTGAGTCACATACATACATCTATAAGCGTTATACGAGAGAGAAAAAACACACCACACAGATATTTGTTGAAATGAAAATAAAAAGAAAAAGGAAAGGAAAAGACATGCACAGTAGGATTTCCACACATACATGCACCTTCTGCTTCCCAATCAAAACCCATAGCTGTGATCACCAAACACATAACATTTCTAAGCCCAACATACTCTATATATGTCCCTCTTCTCTCTCTGCTCTACCAACTCTGAGTAGTGTGTGATTAGTTTCTGTATAGCATTAGCCATAGCCACCGCATACCACCATGTTTTCCCCAAGAGACATGCCTTCTCCCTCCTCAATCTTCTCAGCCTACGCCTCCATGACAGCCTCTATCATGCTGCTGCGTTCCATGGCCAACGAGCTCATTCCCCACCCAATCCGCGGCTACCTTTTCAACACCTTCCGCTACCTCATCAGGCCTCGCTCCCCTACCCTCACCCTCATCATCGAAGAGTCCACCGGCATAGCCCGTAACCAAGTCTACGACGCCGCGGAGGCTTACCTCTCCACCCGCGTCAGCCCCGAAAACGAGAGGCTCAAGATCAGCAAGAGCCCCAAGGAGAAGAAACTAACCATTCGCTTAGAAAAGGGTGAGAAGGTGGTGGACTGCTTCAACGGCGCCTTCTTCAAGTGGAGATTCATCTGTGCCGAGTCCGAGAAGAACAACCCCAACGACCACACCAACAGCAACATCTCCGTAAGATCCGAAAAGCGGTCGTTCGAGCTCAGCTTCCCGAAGAAACACAAGGAAATGGTGCTGGACTGCTATCTGCCCTTCATCCTGGAGAAGGCGAAGGAGATGAAAGACGAGGAACGCGTGCTGAAGATGCACACGCTCAACACTTCCTACTGTTTCAGCGGGGTCAAATGGGACTCCATAAACCTGGAGCATCCTTCCACGTTTGAGACGCTGGCGATGGAGCCGGACCTGAAGAATGCGGTGATAGAGGACTTGGACAGGTTCGTCAAAAGGAGGGAGTTTTACAAGAGAGTAGGGAGGGCATGGAAACGTGGCTACTTGCTCTATGGCCCTCCTGGGACTGGCAAATCCAGCTTGATCGCTGCCATGGCCAATTACTTGAAATTTGACATCTTTGACCTCCAACTCGGGAACATTGTAAGGGATTCCGACCTCAGAAAGCTTCTTCTCGCCACCGCTAACAGGTCCATCTTGGTCATTGAAGACATTGATTGCAGTGTGGATCTCCCAGAGCGCCGCCATGGAGATGGACGTAAACAAACTGACGTACAGGTTAGTATTTCTTTCTTACTTTTCTACTCTCTATTATCATATCCTCCCTTTCATTCATTCTACTTTCACCTCTCTCTTATCCTGCAATTAATACATTTGGATTTTCTCATCATTGTATTCAATGAATTAAAACAGATTAATTTAGGCACTTATCTAAAAATGCCATCCACCGGTTGATTTCTATAATTAATGTCTTAAAAATTATGCTGCTAATTGTGATTTTTAACGGAATAAAAAGTTATGATGTTTGTAGACAGAAAAAATATGGATTTCTTGAACCAGTATTCATGTCACAGTGGCTAATACTTATCATATCATATTAGTTGTTGTTTTTAAATTTTTTAGGAAGCTTTATTCTGGATTTAAGAGAATTTAAAAATATTTTTTTTTTATTCGAGTGAATTTGAGGGTGAATAGCAGTTAATTTGGAAGAATTTTTTTTAATATGATAAATTAATCAAATTTTATACTAATTTTTATAAAAATTGTTTCTAAATTTACTCTCACTTATTTCTAAATTTAGTCAAATAAGCAACAAAATAATTTATTTTCAAATTCACTCTATCACTCTTTCCAAATACATTCAAGTAAACAAAGATAAATAAAAAGGTGAAATTTGTAGTTAAAAAGAATAAAGAGAGAAGTAGTCTGGTCGACCTCGTAAGAAAATGCGAATCGTTGTGTTCCTTTTGCTACATTTACCAAAAGCACCAAAGGGGAATTCTTGGCCAAAAATGGTTGTTTTCCAAAAAGCAAGCCGACCACGTGGGTTCTGATCTAAGTGTGTAGAATGCAACAATAGATAGAGTTATAGAATTTGACAGGACAGGTTCACTGCTTTACCATGTGTTATTAGACTCATTTTCTCATTGGAGTGGAAACCTTTTTCTATCATTTCTCTTGCTAGTGGAAACATGCCGTTTATAAAAGCACGCCCTGAATTGGTTAGTGGGGACTACCGTGCAGTTTAGTAATTGGGTGTTGATGGTAATTTAAAGACTATCAGTGAATGAAGAAGTTAAATTAAAACCATCCAAAGCATTTGCCACATCGTCCAAATGCCACTTTCAATTCCAAAGGATCAAAAATGGGCATTTCACTGTCAATCCACGCAATTCGTTCGGCCATTTCATTTTTCTTTTCCTCTTTTTTGTTGTTTTGTGTTTGACAATTAGCGAGAGAAAGAGTACAAGTACCTGTGGTTCGAATGTCGTTGTTAAATGTCATTGGATGGTGGATGCCACACAAGACGATCTTCCGTGTAAAGCTTCTATTATGGACTCATGTTGCTGTCATATTTTATTCTCTGTTAATTTGGTAGGACATGTTACGGAATATTTTACATTGCTTATTTTCATCACAATTAAAACCATCCATGTATAAAAAGCAACACTGTTACTGTCGCCTTCAATTTTCTTTAACCCGCCGCGTGCGCTACTTTTTTATTCTACAACATGTTATCCAATTTTTAAGTAAATTTAGCATCTTTCCACCTATGAAAGCAAGATTATGTTACTCACATCTACTTTTCAAACTCCTCTTTTACATTCTAATTTTTCTACATATGTCCTATTTTATTATTATATCACTGCTTGCTTGCTATATATGCTAATTTTTGTCGTTACCTGTCACTCCACACACAGGGTGAAAAATTCTCTGTTCTATTTAGCATGTATATGAGTTCACAGGCTACTGCATCCCTATTTACGGATACTTTCCCGGATACATCCCCTAACTGAAACATGTGTACATAACTAACTCACAATGAACATAACTGAAATAACTTCTATGATCTAACATCATATGTATTTTATGTGACAATAATAACATTTTCCATTTTCTTTGACTCTCCCACTATTCAGACAGTTTTGTTTTCATGGATTTGACAGTCAACATATCTGAACTTATAATTTTTTTTACTATCATCTGAATGAGTTGGTCAACTGAAATAAAATAGAATTTTGCGTTTAGATTACAAGTTCAAATTGTTATGCACTTAACCTGATAATTTCTGACAGTAAAAAAAGAACGTGCACGTACACTATCGTTTATGAAGTTCAATGTTGTTGTTGTGATTGTTAAAGTTTGTAAAGTCAAATTGATGATAGGCTGACAGAGAATCTGATGGATGGATGCAGTTGACTTTGTCGGGGTTACTAAACTTCATTGATGGGCTATGGTCCAGTTGTGGAGACGAGAGAATAATCATATTCACCACCAACCACAAAGAGAGACTAGACCCAGCACTGTTGCGGCCCGGAAGAATGGACATGCACATTCACATGTCCTATTGCTCCTACCAAGGCTTCAAGCTTTTGGCCTCAAACTACTTGGAAACTCCCTCTGAACATCCCCTCTTTGGAGAGATAGAGGGGTTGATAGAGGACATACAGATAACCCCAGCGCAAGTGGCAGAGGAATTGATGAAGAACGAGGACGCGGAGGCCACACTTGAAGCATTCGTGAAGCTACTGAAGAGAAAGAAGATGGAGGGTGATGTTTGCGAGAACTATGGTCCTGAGAAACCACAACCTTCCAAAAGGCGCAAGGTTGGTTGCAAGCAAAAACCAGGTGTCGGCATTAGCAAGAGCAACATTGGTGTGACTCAAAGAAGGACAAGGAGAATGAGAAGAGAGCGTAGTTTTTAGTCTCCTGGTCCAAGATATATGGTCGAATAAGGTTGTTGCAGCTACTACTACTTGTCTCCGCAAACTAAAATCGCTGATGTAGGCTTCGGGCTTTTCTTACTTTTAATCAGTTGCTAAGAGGCTAGCTAGCTACATTTTCTATCCAAAACTTCAGACTCTCGTTGAAATGAAAGGGTAGCACTGTGTGATTGCTGGTATCGGTAAATGAACAATATATGTACGTACATGTAATTGTGTATAGTTGTCCAAACAACGGACACTGCCCACTGTATTCAAGCAACATAGGTTCTTGAGAGTAATATCTTGTTAATTCATCCTACGAAGTATTTATTACATAAATATATAAAATAAAAGTTATAAAAATGAAGTCCGTAATATACTTGTTCTTTTGTTTTTCTGTCCATGTAATGTGTATCCATCATTAATTGATGAAATGAATTAAAGATGAGCACGGTGTTTTGTAGATTTCACATTAACAAATAAATATGTATGCTTATTTCTTACGCACCATAACACAAAAAACAAGCATGTGTGTTTTACAACAGATTTCACCACAAGACCTCTTTATATCCCAAGACACACATATTCTCCATCTCACGAAAATGGAGGTCGACACCAGGCTTGAAGACGAAACACCTGTTGACACGTGATGATGACACACTCCTCCAGCTACAGATTTTCCCTTGTCATGGATCTTTCAGAAAGACAGGTTATGCGAAACGAGAGAATTTGAAAAGGTTTAAGACTGATACATTAAAAAGAAAAAACAGGGTTTTGATATAGCGTCGGAACATACTTTAAAAGCAGTAGTCACGATATACAAACAAACGAAAGGAGACAAAATGATAACAAGAAACTTTGCCTTTTGTAATACCTAAATAAACATCATGATCTGAAAGAGTCAGTCACTCGGTATCACCTCCAAATAAGAAAAAATTAGGGACAACTATTATTGGATCTTTCTTCAACCAGTAACATGGTACCAAAACAGCAATTCAAAATATCCAAGTGCTAAACACGTCTTCAAATAACAATATTTTACATCTCATATTCCCCATTAACATATTAAATATCAGTCTAAACATGGCTCATAAGAACCACAATGTAACGAAACATCTTACTTTAAAGGAAGTTGTAAAGCAAATTAGAAGTAGTAAAAGCGCGATTGTAGAGTATGAGTAACCCCAGCGTGTGAGAATAATCATAATTCCCTATTTTTAATTAGTCTTGTTGGCTCATAATTTTGTTTTGAACCTACCAAACCAAGATTCTACGGCATGTTCTCTTAACTCTTTGTAAAATATAAACTTCCCAGCAAAACTAGTGTCGTACTTTATGCATAAGTCTAAAAGTTATCATAGATTTAGAATCTCGAAATCGTTTTCGGCATTGAATTTTACCACTGTTCTAGACACACAATTACCCATCTAAAACACTACAGAACAAAAAGATACTGGTTTTTGTTCTGCATCTTATCCGAGTGATGATACAGTTGAGAAGACTCTAAAACATGACTAGTCTAAAATTTGGCTTCCTTGGTCTTTTGTTTGAGAAATTGAACAAGTGCTTCCAAACAAACGTCAGGATCCTCGTGTCTCATTAGTTGCTCCGCTACCACTGCAGGGGTGACATCTATTTTCTCCAACAGATCATCAATTTGTTCAAAAAGTGGATGATCTCCTTCAACGCCTAAGTAATTGGAAGCTAGAATTCGAAATGCCTTGCTTCCGAGGAAGGACAAGTGAATGTGCATGTCCATACGACCAGGGCGCAGCAACGCAGGGTCGATTCTTTCTCTGTGGTTGGTGGTAAAGATCAAAATCCGCTCCTCTCCTCCACTCGACCATAACCCATCCATGTAGTTAAGCAGACCCGACAGAGTAAACCTGCTTGTCTTAATCTACGCAATGATAGTTAGTCAGTTATTTTCTGAACAAAAAAAAGAGAGGTTGGAGAAACTTTTAAATTTTGTAGAAAATAAAAAGGGAAAGGTGCTGATTTAGAAAACGAACATTGACATGCTTGTGGTCATCGTCTGAATCGGAATCTGAAAAGGCTTTTGGTGTTGGTCGAACATGCACCTCTCTGTTGCAGTCAATGTCTTCGATGACGATGATGGAGCGGTTAGCTGTCTCCTTCAGGGTCCGCATGAGGTCTGAGTTAGAAA